CCCCCCCCCCCTCAGCTCAAAGAATCAGGGCAGAGGGAAATAACACCACTGTATTACCTCCCCCCCCCCCCCCTCCACCCACCTGCTGCCTCTTTTCTCACTCTGTGGGATGAAAAACAGCGCAGGGCTGCGACAATGGGAAACTCTGTGAGGCCCCCGCCCTCCCATTAATCCCCTCTGACATGCCTCCCCAGGGCAGGGATTTGCTACAAGTCAATGCAGGAGAGACCTACAGTATGCAAAACAAGCCTGTCTGACTCGCTCGTTTCAAAGAGGCTGCACCGCCTGTGAGTGAGACAGGAAGGCAGATCAGAGAGAGAGAGAGAGAGACAGAGAGAGAGAGAGAGACAGAGAGAGAGACAGAGAGAGAGAGAAATAACTGCACACAGTCTGCTCAGTTAACCCCTTCCTCACCCTCCTGCGCACTGTGCGTCTCACTTCCTACATTACACTGATGACAGGATGACAACTGATGCTGAGCTCGGTGCTTTTCTTCTTCTTCTGTGTTTATAATAAATTCTCCTCCAGGACACGTTCGTGAGCTTAACAGGAAACAAACAGGAATTCACAGGTCATGTGACGCTCTCTCTCCTCTCAGAGCTGCTATTGAATTTCAGCCTTATCAGGGATCTAGTGATGAGGAGATAGGTGGGGGGGGGGGGGGTGGAGGGTGGAGGGAGGATGACATTAGAGAGAAGCAGTCAGGGGCGTTGAGTGCTGGGGGGGGGGTGCTGTCCACACCTGCAGCTCACTCACACAGAGAATGTAAAAACCCGGCTGCACATGGAGGGGGAGGGGGAGGGGGAGGGGAAGGGGGGGGGACAGGAAGGGTTCTGTTCATGCTGCTTTAAATGTCTGATTAAACACAGCAGCAGACATCGTGCTTTAGTGTCTCTTCATCGTGTGCAGGAAAAGGGAAACCAGAGCGTTCATAAAAACCATCATGAGCTTCATATGAAGACCTTCATACAGGTGACACTTCTCTTCTGTTAAAGGTGTTTTAAACAATTGATTTATTTTGATTATTCTTGGCTCAAAAATGAATTCAAAGTGTAGAAATGTAAAAACTAAATGAGAAATACTCGGGGTTTGTTATTAACATTCTGCTGCAGTGAGGTGAAGCAGCAGCCGAAGGAGCAGAGCGGCAGAGAAATGGAAAAACAGATGACAGTCAGGCATTGCCCCACAGAGGAGGAGAAATCCACCAGGATTTGTAGCCTGCTTTAGATTCACGTGATTGGCTCCACTGCTGCCTCCACCCCCCACCCTCACTTTTTTCCACCCATCCTCAGACCCTTTGAGATGGAAAAATGGGTCATCAGTGTGGAAGTTAATACTCCGAGCACGTACAGTGCTGCTTTATTTTAAGGACGTGCCTTGGACATTTTTTTCTCCCCCTCTCCCTCGCTGTGAGTGACACAGAGGAGGGGTAATTAATATACCATGTTGCTGCTGTGCACACAAGTGAAGAGCTGCTGCAGTCTTTATCATAGCTGCTGGCAGTGCCTGGACGTGTCTCATGTTTCTCTCCAGCTTTTCCTCTCCATGACAACGTACAGTAAGCTGCAGACTCTGCAGCCATGACATCAGCAGCAGAGACTCTGAGCATCATCGAGCGAAGGACAAACATGTTCCAAAACAGACGCAGGAGGACTCGAGGCCTCTGTGGACGCCCCACCTAACACTCAGTGATCACCAGCTCCGAGCTAACACTCAAACACAGAGCGCTGCTGCAGAGAGCTACGTGTAGCTGCCATAGCAACCACATACAACAGAGTTATTTCTGTCTCCTTTAACCTCCCAAACACAGCTGCTGCTCCTGATAGCTGCTCTGTGGATGTATGCCACTCGCTCTTCAGAGCAGTGTTTAAGCCTTGACATTCAGAGTGTAGGAACACAGCGAAGGTAATTACAGCTGTGCATATTGATGACAGGATCTTAATGAGCGCTGGAGCTCAGGCCATTAGAATATTCCCAGAACAACATCTGACATACGATCTGAATCTGTGCAAACCAATCACAAACACATCACACTGCTTTGGTTCTCTGCTCCTAATCCTGGATATGAATGACACCTCCAGTAGAGTTTTATTTCCTGCACCTGTAATAAAAGAACAGTGTGCACCTGTCACCGTGAGCACATTAGAGGAAATCAGTACAAACTGTTAAAACCCAGCCCTCCTGAGCACATGGTCTGTGTGCTGCAGGCACGGCCATTGTTATTGCTGTCAACAGGAACTGTTCAGCTCTCTCCATTCAGACGTCCTTCAGAGCAACAACACAGCAGTGTGTGTGTGTGTGTGTGTGTGTGTGTGTGTGTGTGTGTGTGTGTGGACGCAGCCTGGAGCAACACTGCCCCCTAATGCACGCCAAGAGCCTTCCTATAGTTTCCCTTTTTTCTTCCTCTGCATGTTTCCCTAGATATGAAGAGCTGACTCATAATCCATTCACACTCAAACAGGAACACAAAGAAGGAAACAGACTCCTCATTGATTCATGTTGTTCTCAGGGTTAATGACACGATTTGTCCTGTGTAAACACTGAACATCTGCTGAGTCATGCAGAAACAGGCCCGACCACATTCACTGTCTTCACATGGACACACACTCTCTCTCTCTCTCTCTCTCTCTCTCTCTCATTCATTACAGGTCAGATCCAGAGCAACGCAGCAGACGTAACTTACTTATAATCTCACAACAAGAACTAAAGCTGCAGAAACACCAGATTCCATCACACTGAATGTATGTGACACAGTGTCTGAAAAAGTTGTCACAAAAATAACTGAAAAGCTGAATGTGATGTACAAAACACTGAAACTGAAAAGACCAGAAAGAGATCATATCTGATGTTAACACGTATCGTTCTTTAAGCTGCTTTAATGTAAAACATGTTTTTAAAACGTTGGGACAGAGAGGATCACAAACTGCATCGTCTCCCTGCAAACAGATTTCTGCAGCTTCTCTGAACCTTTAATTCTGTTATTTACTGGAGACACCGCAGGAGACCCGCACTGCCCCCTGCTGGTGGTTAACACACATAACATATAGGCTGCACATATAACACAGCCAGGTACACTGAAACACTGAAACACACTGGTGACACCAAAGTGTACAACAGTCTATAAACCATGATAATATTTTATACAGTAATTGTTATAAGAAAGGTTGGAAAGCACTGAGCTGTTAGCAGTCTGATAGTAATGACTCATCACAATCTCTACATATTAATGTGACATTAAAACTGTTTGATTAGAAAGTCTTAAAGGGAAGTTAAAGTTGTTCAGCTCACTGATGCAGAACAGTTTTTTAAATATTCTTTATTTAACATTTTCAGTGAACAAACAAACATTTCACAATGACTCACAGCAGCATATTTAAAAAATATAACAGAAAACAACAAAACTAAAGTTTATAATAACCTGACAGAAATTAAAATAAATACATATAATTTAATTAAATACATTTAACATTTAATTAAATTAAACTGGCTTTAGCTAATCTAATACTCTAAGTGAATCTTACCTGGTGGCCAGACTTGGTATTGCAGCATCACATGAAGCATTTTTGATTTAACCATATATTTTAATTGACATTTTTTCCACAAACTTGTATTCACTGTGTTTATATTTCCATCTTTTATTTCCTCTTAATATTTATATTTATCTTCACGTCACTCCTTTGACTCCATGACGACAAACAGAAACATTCAGAAATAAAATAATAGTTCAGTGTTTCTGTTCTTCTAAGTAGGAGGAGTCAGGTTCTTACTGGTCGTCCTCCTCATAGCTGCTCTCTTTATTATATTTCTATCTCTGTTTTTCACCGTCTGTCCATGGAGCCGGTCCCGTCCTGGACTCAGACAGTGACATGGCGTTATGGAGAGGCCTGTTCCTCGCTTGGTTTACTTTGTGATGGCGTGCAGTCTCTGGTCTCCCTCAGTGACCCCTCCTCTGTCTCCCTCTGCAGCCTGCAGGGGGCCGAGAGTTTATTTACAGGACAAGCTGCCAGCGGTGCTCTCTGTGGAGGCCTCTGAACCCCCCCCCCCAGCTCAACCTCCAACACAGTCTGCTATTTCTCTCCTCTGCCTCCCCAAAGGACACGTTAACAACGATTCACACACACACACACACACACACACACGGAAAAAGGAACATTGTCTGCACTTTAGTGCTCACTCCACATTTCTGGGCCAGCGTTCAGTTTTCACTCCTAATGTAGAAACCTAACCCCCCCCCCCTCCCGCTCTCGTTTCCTGGCAACCTGCAGGCCGGGCTGCTCTGGCCAGCAGCCTTTAGAAAAGCAGCTGCAGACAGGGATAAAAAATAATTACAGCTCTGTTTGTCTTCCAGGAGACTCGCTCTCGAGCTATGAGCTGCTCCACTTTCTGCACGCAGCACGAACACATCAAGTCCTCCTGCAGCAGCTGGAACTCAAACACTGAACTTTATGAACAGCAGGTCCTCCTGAGAGTCATTCATTAACACGACCAGGGTCAGGAAGAAACCTGAGTGACACCTTCATCCTGCTCCAAACATTTAAAGAATCCAGATGTTTTTAAACTCCACATGTGCACCACTACTGCCATCTACTGGAGAAAAGAAACTACACAAGCTTTGAGCGTGTTGACAGGTTTTATTTTTAGGATTTTACACACAGAAATAAATCCAGACAGAAAACCTGGAATAGAAAAATAACATTGAAGTGACATAAAAACAAGAACATTTGAGTTTCACTCTGTGGACTATTTACACATCTCAGCGATGTTCAGAGACTTTACACGTCTTTGTTTACACCGAGGACGAATCAGCAAAACAAAAAAACTCAGACAGGAAATAATTAAAAAGGAGATATGGATGGAAGGAGATGATAAGACTTCTCAGAGACGTCGCCTTCTTCAACCTCCGAGTGTCCTGACAGCTGATGTGCAAAGGTCGAGCGGTGTCGTAATCAGGCGCACACACACACACACACTCTCTCTCTCTCTACAGAACCATTCATTCCACGTCGTCTTCTGATAAAGATGCCGTGCTGACGAGTCGCTGAAAAACAGAAGAAAACATTGTTTACATGTGATCACGTTCACCTGCTCGTTAGCTGCAGAGTCGGTTTGTTCCAAAGATTTTAAGTCAGACATAAGAACATCAGGGCGCCGGTGGCCTACTGGTGAGTGCGCACGCCCCATGTACAGAGGCTTAAGTCATCCAAGCGGAGGACAAGCTTCATGTTTCTGTCTTAGAGGTGAAATAACCGAGAGCTACGGACACTCAGCACTCAGCTTTGGATGATTCTAAGATTGATCTTGCACCCTCTCTTGTCCCAGAGACCACAGGAGGAGACCGGGGGGTTTATGAGGGTGCTCTCTAACAAACAAACAAACAAACAAACAAACATGTCCCTGAGGTTTCCCCTGTGCGCCATGCTCACCTGGCTGATGCTGGGCAGTTTGGTGAGCAACATTTGGAACACTGGAGGAGGCAGCGTCTGCTGGAGGACCTGCAGCAGCTGCTGAGGCTGACCACACACAGCGATGGCGTTGGTCAGGTGGTCCACCCCGCTCTCAAACTCACCTGGAGGAGGGTCACAAAGGGTTAAGTGGACTTTAACATGAACAGAGGTGTAGGAGAATTATAAAGAGAGTTGGTATGAATCATTATAAAGTATGAAAGAAGCAATCAGTAAGATCTGTGGTGAAGAAATGATGATGAGACAGCTCTCTCCAATGTTTGAATTCAGACTGCAGTACCCATTTTCACCACTAGGTGTCAGAGTTACTGCTCCTGTGAATGTACAGTCCTCTGCTGTGTTTCATCTCATCCTTTCTTTGAAACCATGGCAACACAAACAGAAGTCCTGAGCACCAACTGGTGGTGAGTTTCTTTTTAATAAAAACTCATGGGAGCGTTTACGCCGACGTTCACCATCACAAACTGATGTCGCCGTTATTCTGACAAGCTTCATGTTTCTGTCTTAGAGGTGAAATAACCGAGAGCTACGGACACTCAGCACTCAGCTTTGGATGATTCTAAGATTGATCTCGCACCCTCTCTTGTCCCAGAGACCACAGGAGGAGACCGGGGGGTTTATGAGGGTGCTCTAACAAACGACCGAGGCCATGGATTAAGAAAGATCGTTGAAGACGCACGGCACACCGATAGCCTAGTGGTTAATGTGTGTGATGCATGTACAGAATCTCGAGTCCTTGAAAGTAACGGGCCCAGGTTTGAATCCGACCTTTGACCCCCACATGTCATTCCCCACTCCCTGACTCTTTCCACTGTCCTCTCTCTAAATAAAGGTATCAAATATAAATCTATAAATAAAACAGTGCTGCAGACTCAGACTCAGTATGTGAATCTGGTCTCTCTGGGCTTCCTGTAGAGCAGGGGTGCCCAACCTTTTTTAAACCAAGACCTACCAGACCAGTCTGCAGAGATCTACCAGTCCACATAGTGAGCCGTAGCCTTTACCGACAGCCTCCAAATGCATTTAATACTCACACAACAAACAGAAAATAATTTCAGATATAATAAATGAGAGTTCTGTAAAAAATAATGCACATTTTTTAAACTCTTATTTTAGGGTAGGCTACATTTTAATATTACGTTTGTATTTATATCACATATGTTTTCCCCTTACTTTAGTTTACAACAAACAACTTTAATCTGTGTGGAGATGTTCACAGACTACAGCAGGCTGCTGTGAGATGATGTTGCTTTTGTTAAATTAGCTGCAGACACGGTGAGAGTGAACGGAGTAAAGTCCAACCGACCGTTTGACCGGGTCACGTGTTCCGCCTCGGTCCGTACGGATCAACTGTGTGCTGTAGCACTGAAAGTAAACAGGTTCGCGTGGTGGCTGGCGCTCCAGTGCAAGTGTGTGTGTGTGTATGTGTGTGTGTGTGTGTGTGTGTGTGTGTGTGTATGTGTGTGTGTGTGTGTGTATGTGTGTGTGTGTGTGTGCGTGCGTGTGTGTGCGTATGTGTGTGCGTTTGCGCTGTTTGTTGGTGTGTCTCGTCCCCCGCGATGCTCACAGTCATGACAGCAGAGAGGAGCAGAGAAAAGTAGCTGCAGCTTCATCAAATGTGCTTAATACTCGTAGCATAGTTTCTATGTATGACTTTTTGGTAAACATTTAGCCCCCGTGGTTTTACCTGCACTCTCTCTTGCGCGCGCGCTCTCTCTCTCTCTCTCCCCCGCTCGCTCATGCACGCAGCAATTTCATGAATAAATGAAAAATTAAATACAAACAGGTCGGAAGTATACTTGGCTCCCCACACAGGTATCGTGTGTGGGAAAAACTGCAATGAGATGAAATTGAAATCACTTTTCTATTTTACAATTGTATTTTATATTGACTAAACATCTCGATCGACTGAGAATCAGTCAGCGATCTACCTGTCGATCGCGATCGACTGTTTGGGCACCCCTGCTGTAGAGGATCCAGAACCTTCTAAACTTCATATTTAAACTCTTCATTCACCTTGTGATAAGAGCTCCTCCCCAAGCTGGATTTCCTCCAGGAAGAATTTCTGCACCGCTTCAGCGTCCTTCAGGTCCGGCAGCTTCAAGGGTCGACAGACACAGAGGGGTCAAAGATACAAACTTCAAGAAATAAAACTAACTGAAATTCAAGGGTTAACTTTCATGTCACCTTCGCCAGTCCAGACTGATCACCAGAAACATTCTGCTTCCTCCGACCTGCGAGAAATAAAAACACCTTCACACTTCATGTGACCGTATCTTTGACCACATATGAATCAATATGAAGAACTAACAGAAGTCTACACTAACAGATAGAAGTCTACACTAACAGATAGAAGTCTACACGCTAACAGATAGAAGTCTACACCTAACAGATAGAAGTCTACACGCTAACAGATAGAAGTCTACACCCTAACAGATAGAAGTCTACACGCTAACAGATAGAAGTCTACACCCTAACAGATAGAAGTCTACACGCTAACAGATAGAAGTCTACACCTAACAGATAGAAGTCTACACGCTAACAGATAGAAGTCTACACCTAACAGATAGAAGTCTACACGCTAACAGATAGAAGTCTACACCTAACAGATAGAAGTCTACACGCTAACAGATAGAAGTCTACACTCTAACAGATAGAAGTCTACACTCTAACAGATAGAAGTCTACACCTAACAGATAGAAGTCTACACGCTAACAGATAGAAGTCTACACTCTAACAGATAGAAGTCTACACTCTAACAGATAGAAGTCTACACTCTAACAGATAGAAGTCTACACGCTAACAGATAGAAGTCTACACCTAACAGATAGAAGTCTACACGCTAACAGATAGAAGTCTACACCTAACAGATAGAAGTCTACACGCTAACAGATAGAAGTCTACACCCTAACAGATAGAAGTCTACACGCTAACAGATAGAAGTCTACACTCTAACAGATAGAAGTCTACACGCTAACAGATAGAAGTCTACACTAACAGATAGAAGTCTACACGCTAACAGATAGAAGTCTACACTAACAGATAGAAGTCTACACGCTAACAGATAGAAGTCTACACCTAACAGATAGAAGTCTACACGCTAACAGATAGAAGTCTACACTCTAACAGATAGAAGTCTACACTAACAGATAGAAGTCTACACGCTAACAGATAGAAGTCTACACCTAACAGATAGAAGTCTACACGCTAACAGATAGAAGTCTACACCCTAACAGATAGAAGTCTACACGCTAACAGATAGAAGTCTACACTAACAGATAGAAGTCTACACTAACAGATAGAAGTCTACACTAACAGATAGAAGTCTACACTAACAGATAGAAGTCTACACGCTAACAGATAGAAGTCTACACTAACAGATAGAAGTCTACACGCTAACAGATAGAAGTCTACACACTAACAGATAGAAGTCTACACTAACAGATAGAAGTCTACACACTAACAGATAGAAGTCTACACACTAACAGATAGAAGTCTACACTAACAGATAGAAGTCTACACACTAACAGATAGAAGTCTACACACTAACAGATAGAAGTCTACACTAACAGATAGAAGTCTACACGCTAACAGATAGAAGTCTACACACTAACAGATAGAAGTCTACACGCTAACAGATAGAAGTCTACACACTAACAGATAGAAGTCTACACGCTAACAGATAGAAGTCTACACACTAACAGATAGAAGTCTACACACTAACAGATAGAAGTCTACACGCTAACAGATAGAAGTCTACACGCTAACAGATAGAAGTCTACACGCTAACAGATAGAAGTCTACACGCTAACAGATAGAAGTCTACACGCTAACAGATAGAAGTCTACACACTAACAGATAGAAGTCTACACGCTAACAGATAGAAGTCTACACACTAACAGATAGAAGTCTACACGCTAACAGATAGAAGTCTACACTAACAGATAGAAGTCTACACGCTAACAGATAGAAGTCTACACACTAACAGATAGAAGTCTACACACTAACAGATAGAAGTCTACACACTAACAGATAGAAGTCTACACTAACAGATAGAAGTCTACACTAACAGATAGAAGTCTACACACTAACAGATAGAAGTCTACACTAACAGATAGAAGTCTACACGCTAACAGATAGAAGTCTACACACTAACAGATAGAAGTCTACACGCTAACAGATAGAAGTCTACACGCTAACAGATAGAAGTCTACACTAACAGATAGAAGTCTACACGCTAACAGATAGAAGTCTACGCTAACAGATAGAAGTCTACACGCTAACAGATAGAAGTCTACACTAACAGATAGAAGTCTACACGCTAACAGATAGAAGTCTACACTAACAGATAGAAGTCTACACTAACAGATAGAAGTCTACACTAACAGATAGAAGTCTACACTAACAGATAGAAGTCTACACTAACAGATAGAAGTCTACACTAACAGATAGAAGTCTACACACTAACAGATAGAAGTCTACACACTAACAGATAGAAGTCTACACGCTAACAGATAGAAGTCTACACACTAACAGATAGAAGTCTACACTAACAGATAGAAGTCTACACTAACAGATAGAAGTCTACACACTAACAGATAGAAGTCTACACACTAACAGATAGAAGTCTACACACTAACAGATAGAAGTCTACACTAACAGATAGAAGTCTACACTAACAGATAGAAGTCTACACGCTAACAGATAGAAGTCTACACTAACAGATAGAAGTCTACACTAACAGATAGAAGTCTACACTAACAGATAGAAGTCTACACTAACAGATAGAAGTCTACACACTAACAGATAGAAGTCTACACTAACAGATAGAAGTCTACACACTAACAGATAGAAGTCTACACTAACAGATAGAAGTCTACACGCTAACAGATAGAAGTCTACACTAACAGATAGAAGTCTACACTAACAGATAGAAGTATACATGCTAACAGATAGAAGTCTACACACTAACAGATAGAAGTCTACACTAACAGATAGAAGTCTACACTAACAGATAGAAGTCTACACACTAACAGATAGAAGTCTACACTAACAGATAGAAGTCTACACTAACAGATAGAAGTCTACACTAACAGATAGAAGTCTACACGCTAACAGATAGAAGTCTACACTAACAGATAGAAGTCTACACGCTAACAGATAGAAGTCTACACTAACAGATAGAAGTCTACACTAACAGATAGAAGTCTACACTAACAGATAGAAGTCTACACTAACAGATAGAAGTCTACACTAACAGATAGAAGTCTACACTAACAGATAGAAGTCTACACTAACAGATAGAAGTCTACACACTAACAGATAGAAGTCTACACTAACAGATAGAAGTCTACACGCTAACAGATAGAAGTCTACACGCTAACAGATAGAAGTCACACTAACAGATAGAAGTCTACACTAACAGATAGAAGTCTACACGCTAACAGACAGAAGTCTACACTAACAGATAGAAGTCTACACACTAACAGATAGAAGTCTACACTAACAGATAGAAGTCTACACACTAACAGATAGAAGTCTACACGCTAACAGATAGAAGTCTACACGCTAACAGATAGAAGTCTACACTAACAGATAGAAGTCTACACACTAACAGATAGAAGTCTACACACTAACAGATAGAAGTCTACACTAACAGATAGAAGTCTACACACTAACAGATAGAAGTCTACACACTGACAGATAGAAGTCTACACGCTAACAGATAGAAGTCTACACGCTAACAGATAGAAGTCTACACCCTAACAGATAGAAGTCTACACTAACAGATAGAAGTCTACACGCTAACAGACAGAAGTCTACACTAACAGATAGAAGTCTACACACTAACAGATAGAAGTCTACACTAACAGATAGAAGTCTACACACTAACAGATAGAAGTCTACACGCTAACAGATAGAAGTCTACACGCTAACAGATAGAAGTCTACACTAACAGATAGAAGTCTACACACTAACAGATAGAAGTCTACACACTAACAGATAGAAGTCTACACTAACAGATAGAAGTCTACACACTAACAGATAGAAGTCTACACACTGACAGATAGAAGTCTACACGCTAACAGATAGAAGTCTACACACTAACAGATAGAAGTCTACACTAACAGATAGAAGTCTACACACTAACAGATAGAAGTCTACACTAACAGATAGAAGTCTACACCTAACAGATAGAAGTCTACACGCTAACAGATAGAAGTCTACACTAACAGATAGAAGTCTACACACTAACAGATAGAAGTCTACACGCTAACAGATAGAAGTCTACACGCTAACAGATAGAAGTCTACACTAACAGATAGAAGTCTACGCTAACAGATAGAAGTCTACACACTAACAGATAGAAGTCTACACACTAACAGATAGAAGTCTACACGCTAACAGATAGAAGTCTACACGCTAACAGATAGAAGTCTACGCTAACAGATAGAAGTCTACACGCTAACAGATAGAAGTCTACACTAACAGATAGAAGTCTACACGCTAACAGATAGAAGTCTACACTAACAGATAGAAGTCTACACTAACAGATAGAAGTCTACACGCTAACAGATAGAAGTCTACACGCTAACAGATAGAAGTCTACACTAACAGATAGAAGTCTACACTAACAGATAGAAGTCTACACTAACAGATAGAAGTCTACACACTAACAGATAGAAGTCTACACTAACAGATAGAAGTCTACACACTAACAGATAGAAGTCTACACACTAACAGATAGAAGTCTACACACTAACAGATAGAAGTCTACACACTAACAGATAGAAGTCTACACTAACAGATAGAAGTCTACACTAACAGATAGAAGTCTACACACTAACAGATAGAAGTCTACACACTAACAGATAGAAGTCTACACACTAACAGATAGAAGTCTACACTAACAGATAGAAGTCTACACGCTAACAGATAGAAGTCTACACTAACAGATAGAAGTCTACACTAACAGATAGAAGTCTACACTAACAGATAGAAGTCTACACGCCAACAGATAGAAGTCTACACACTAACAGATAGAAGTCTACACTAACAGATAGAAGTCTACACACTAACAGATAGAAGTCTACACTAACAGATAGAAGTCTACACGCTAACAGATAGAAGTCTACACTAACAGATAGAAGTCTACACTAACAGATAGAAGTATACACGCTAACAGATAGAAGTCTACACACTAACAGATAGAAGTCTACACTAACAGATAGAAGTCTACACTAACAGATAGAAGTCTACACACTAACAGATAGAAGTCTACACTAACAGATAGAAGTCTACACTAACAGATAGAAGTCTACACGCTAACAGATAGAAGTCTACACTAACAGATAGAAGTCTACACGCTAACAGATAGAAGTCTACACTAACAGATAGAAGTCTACACTAACAGATAGAAGTCTACACTAACAGATAGAAGTCTACACGCTAACAGATAGAAGTCTACACTAACAGATAGAAGTCTACACTAACAGATAGAAGTCTACACACTAACAGATAGAAGTCTACACACTAACAGATAGAAGTCTACACGCTAACAGATAGAAGTCTACACGCTAACAGATAGAAGTCTACACACTAACAGATAGAAGTCTACACTAACAGATAGAAGTCTACACGCTAACAGACAGAAGTCTACACTAACAGATAGAAGTCTACACACTAACAGATAGAAGTCTACACTAACAGATAGAAGTCTACACACTAACAGATAGAAGTCTACACGCTAACAGATAGAAGTCTACACGCTAACAGATAGAAGTCTACACTAACAGATAGAAGTCTACACACTAACAGATAGAAGTCTACACACTAACAGATAGAAGTCTACACTAACAGATAGAAGTCTACACACTGACAGATAGAAGTCTACACACTGACAGATAGAAGTCTACACTAACAGATAGAAGTCTACACACTAACAGATAGAAGTCTACACTAACAGATAGAAGTCTACACCCTAACAGATAGAAGTCTACACGCTAACAGATAGAAGTCTACACACTAACAGATAGAAGTCTACACGCTAACAGATAGAAGTCTACACGCTAACAGATAGAAGTCTACACGCTAACAGATAGAAGTCTACACTAACAGATAGAAGTCTACACACTAACAGATAGAAGTCTACACACTAACAGATAGAAGTCTACACTAACAGATAGAAGTCTACACACTAACAGATAGAAGTCTACACACTAACAGATAGAAGTCTACACTAACAGATAGAAGTCTATCTGGCACCTCTCCAGCTACCAGACCAACTTCCATAATAGGTCCGCAACAGGACTTGAACCCGCGACCCTCTGGTTCCCAACCCAAGTCCCTACAGACTGAGCTACTGCCCTTAAAAATCTGAAGAAATCTGAATTTGAGGGACTTTTGATTCACTTTGTTTGAATTCTTAAAATGTTTAGGCTTTAATAAAAACATTGAAGGGTTAGGGTGGGTTTTTTTTAACCACGTGTTACAGGTTAAACACGTGGCTCACCCTAACGTGTTATTTTACTTTGAAAGTCTCCACAGGAAACACATCCAATCATATAAATAGTTTTTATAAAAGGCGACAGAAACATTTAATATAATTATAAACACTTTTATAAAAACAGAATTATTAGTCAGCTTTAGAATAATACTGTTAAAACTGAAGTCACGTTTCTTAAACGAGTTATCGCGAGAGTAGGACAATTAAGATAAAGTGAATGTTTCTCTTCTTTTCTCCCTCAGTTATAAAATAAAATAATGTATTAAATCTATCACATTAACACTTTAAGTCAGACTTTAGATGAATTTAAATGAATGTTATTTAACCTTCACGCTGTCTCAACACTCACGTTCCCGCAGTTTGTCTTTGAATCTCGGGTCACTTCTTCTCTTTCTGTCGAAATAAAAACAATAAGCGATGAAAACGGCTCCACACAGGCCGACCAGCAGAGCTCCACTCCGGCTCATGGTGAGGACAGCACGACGACCACCACACAGCAGCTAACCGTTAGCCTGTTGCTAAGGAAGTGGGCGAGCGGAAATCATGCACGACGCATGCGCATTGTCGACGGAACAACCGTTTTATTTTTTTAAATAAACTTTACTGAGAATTGTCTTTTTTTGTATAACTTGCAGAAACGTTAGAGGACCTGTCGTTATAACATTTATCATTTCTGAATTCATACCTTTATATTTATGATTTAAAAATAAAACCTACGGGGTCCCTGAAGTCCCAAAAAGTAAAACAATATTTTTGTTCTTCGCACAAGACAGCAAGACGCATGCGCAATGTCGACGGAACAAGCTTTAAACAAACTTTACTGATATTTGTAATTTTTTAGTTTAACCTGTGGAGACGTTAGATCAGTGTTTTCCAAAGTGTGGCTCCTGACCCCGCAAGGGGACGCCAGCAAGGCCGCCCATGGCTATCTCAAGAGTTAACCAGGAGGCTAGTGTTAGCTAATAAATCAAATCAGACGCTGAAGGGCCCCGTCACCTTTCAGGGGTCAAACTAATGCAGGTTCCACAGTGGGCACTAAGGGGGTCACAGAAACCTGGAGGGACTAATCTGTGTCCTGTTTCAGTTTTAAGATGTTATAAAAATATAAGAATTCATCTGAACTGTTGATTATAAAAGACGTCTCCTCTCGTCTCGCTCTCAATGAAACGGCGTGGAGAAGAAGTGAGCGGACTCAGCGAGTACTTCACAAACTATGGCATTTATTTCAAACAGAGGCTTCTGCTTTGCTTACATTTTTACAATAAATTACACATCGACCATCATCAGATGAGCCTAATAAATACTATCGAGCATTTCATCAACGAGCTCCTTTACTCTCTTCTTCTATGACCTTTAAAGTTTTCATACAGCTTCAGCATCCAAACATCGCCGTCCTCCAACGAGCTCCAAAAACAAACTAAACAAGAAATAAAAAAGAACATAAAAGAAGTGAAACATCAGGAAACATGCTGTCACTCTCAGTATTTACACACTAACTACACTTCAACCTGTACACAAACGTACACGTTATTTATTAAATAGCTCGACTCAAACACTCAATATACAAATGTAGAACAAAAGCAAACAGTTACATGGTGGTACAGCGAGTCTGTACAAACAGAGAAACATTTACAAGATGTTCACCTCCAGGCAGCTCACACAACACCAAACACAACCAGACTTTTATTTTGGTAGGGATGAGCATGACAGGAAATGGATGCCGATAATGAGCGAGTAAAGTTCATGTTGTTGAAACACAGCGTCTTCTTTTCATGCTGCGTCGTCGTACGGCTGCTGTCGCTTTAACAGAGTCAGCTGTTCATGATGTCACTGATCAAAACACAAAACATCATTTTAAAGACTGATGACACATTTCATTCTGTCACAAAGTCAGAAAACCATCAGACTGTTCGCCGCTCGCCCACGCCGCTCGCCCACGCCGCTCGCCCACGCCGCATCCAGTGGTTTCTGAGGAGCCTCTGATTGGACACGAGGATCAGGATTAAAAAGTAGTGTCCGTCCTCAGAATGTCCCGTGGTAACGAAAAGGCACTACAGTATCATTCCACGTTTAACCATCGAGGAGATGGTCCTTAACCCCGCCCATCAACACCTGTGAAGAGCCCCGCCCACCACGTGAGCAGCTTTGTTTACATGAAGTAGAGATGTTCCCACACCGCTCGTTCACCGCTCAGTTACCTGGCTCAGGTAAACAGAATTAATGATGAGATCATCACACAAACAAACCCTAACAGAGAGCAGCTTCCTGTCCAGAGAGCAGCTTCCTGTGAGCAGCTTCCTGTCCAGAGAGCAGCTTCCTGTGAGCAGCTTCCTGTCCAGAGAGCAGCTTCCTGTGAGCAGCTTCCTGTCCAGAGAGCAGCTTCCTGTGAGCAGCTTCCTGTCCAGAGAGCAGCTTCCTGTCCAGAGAGCAGCTTCCTGTGAGCAGCTTCCTGTGAGAGCAGCTTCCTGTCCAGAGAGCAGCTTCCTGTGAGCAGCTTCCTGTCCAGAGAGCCCTCTCTGCTGTCGCTATGGTAACACATCTACTTTTGACTGAGTGTGGACAGAGACACGTGGCACGGTGACATTTCCTGCGTCCTCGATGCTAGTTTGG